TATTTATTTTTTAAATTAATATTTATTAATTATTTTTTAAATTAATATTTAGTAATTCATCGAATTATAAATTTTTATTATTTAAAAATGAGTGTTATGTTTAATTTTTCATTTTAATTGCTATAATATTTATCATAATTTTCTTAAAGAAGAAAAAAGAAAGATATTATCTTTCTAATTGATTTAAAACAATTTTATTATTTTAAAAAAAATTTTTACAAAATATAAAAAAATATAAAAAAATTTGAATAATATAAAAAAAAGTATTACGTCAAATTATCAAACAAAAAAAATAAATGATATATGTATATAACCTAAGCAAAAGACAAAAGATACAATATCTTATAAAATATCAATTTTCATTCAGTAATATGATTTTTAATAGCGAATCAAAAAACCGATCCGCAGCATGACTCTCGTATTTTTATCTGTATACTGTGTTTTGAGGTAGAAAGAGTGAAATTCATCAGGAGATATCGCGAGCCATTGTAATGAATCGAGCACTTGTACGCCCATAAACGAACGTCTTAATTGATCTTCAAACTCTTTTAATTGAGACTAAACGTGGAGTTTTTTTTTTTTTTCTTTTTTTCGACTCATTTTCCCAACGCCTTATAGCTCATTAACGTTTTCCTCCCCCCTCTCCCCCCTCTCCTTTTTTTCGTTTTTAATGACTCTGCTTCATTGGTAGGCGTTAACGAAGAATACTATGGCGATGAAAGCTTCGGCACACAGAAAGAAATGCAGAGAGCGCGAATATTCATTTTCTCCACGGCAAATATCTAGTTATCATCTAGGCTTCATGCTTATTTTCTTCTTATTCGTTCAACATTAACTTTAATTCTTTCTAGTTCTATTACGCTTAATTTCTATGAATCCGTTCTATCATTATACGCTATATTTTTTTATGTATATGCTACTGTGATGTAGCTTATAAGCAATTATTTATTTAGCGTGTTTCGTTTTAACACAGCAATTGTTCTTAGAATTAGAGACGATGAAACGTCAGTTGTTTGGAAGCAAGTATATTAACTATTATGCATGTATGCAAACATCGAACTTTTAGGTAATTACCGTTTTGTACAAAAGTCTTAAATGATTTATAATATAATATAATCCTTTTATATTCTTTTTATATTTTTTACAATTTGTACATGTATTAAAAATATTAATGCATGAATAAATATAAGTGGAAATAACTGTTTACATTTTTAATTTTAACATTTTCAAGATTAGTATTTTTAAATTATAATTATTTATATTGAATATGTGATGATCGTTTGTCAATTGATAATAAGCTATTTTAATAATCTGAATGGAAATTCTACGTTATTCTGGAAAAATTTCAAATGTTAGGTCATTTTGAATGACCAAATTATTAAGAAAGCAATAAAGTTAAGAGTTATGTATGTTTTCTTTTTTTTTTTCTTTTTCATTTTTTATTATATTAAAGAACAAATGCAATTTAATAATTTTGATTTTTCAAAATAAAAACGTTATTATAAGTATTGAAAAATTTATTATTAAAAAAATATTAGAAAAATAGAAAAAGTTTATTATTAAAAAAAACTAGGCAATTAATACAAAATTGATTAGAATTTTATTGTTAAAAAAATAAAATAAAATAAATTATTTATATTAATTAAAATATATGAACGAGATAAGTATAATTATAAGTATAATTATATATAATTTATATAATAAAATTTATAAAATAATTCGTCATAACATTCATGATACATGTATTTATGTTAATATATAAATATATTTTTTATTCAATAATTTGTATTACAAACATTTAAGACTTTTGCACGGTATTACACATTCTTCTTTTTGATGATTGATTTTCAATCTTATTGATTATTTAATTCCTTGTTGTACACGTATTATATGCTAATCATATATTTCGAGTTTCTGAAAAAATTGACATTTTAATGTATGCTATTCACTTCCATTTTCCATCCTGAAATTTCTATTTATATATATATATATATTTTTATGTAATATATTACTAGTTTTCCAGAAATTTTTAATTTTGAAAAGGAAAATGATTTTACATGTTAATGTAATACTATGTATAATATATCATACTATGTATAATATTCTAGATTGGACAATTCTAGTAATTTATGTTCAACATCCTCTTTTTTTGATTTATTTCTTTTCATGAAGCAATGTAGTTTCTTTTAAACAATATACATATATATGTTATATGTTATTATATAACAGACTTGTGAAAAAGATCAGGAATAATTATAAATAAAATTTATAAAAAATCACTAGTGTATAAGAAATAAATAATTACAGATATGATATAAATATAAATAGGATGACTTGGTATTGGCAGTGAATTTCGAAAAACGTTCACAAAATATCAACATAATTAAAAATGAATTAATATAATATTTTATAAATTATAATTTTTATAATTTTTTCTTATTTTCTTTTTTTTAACCAGGATGTAATATAATTAGAAAATCGCATTTCTAAATTTCGTTTCACATTTATACGAAATTGAGTTCATGCCAATTACGTATAATGGTTCATAATAACAATTGATAAATACATTTAACCATTCTGAATCATTTAGAATGTTTCATTTTTACATTGTAATTTACAATTATTAACGTTTATTAACATCGCCAATATGAAAATTATATTTTTACGAGCAAATTGTAGTTTACGTAAATTACCGTGCGAGATAATTGCGTGTTTGCATTTTTGTAAAAAAGGTACAAACTCTTGAAAATGATTAAATCATGGGAAATATAAATATTGCCAGTTTTCCTTCACTCGATATGCAATATTGCATAAAAGCTATGTTATAAAAGTAACTTCACAACGTACGTATTTATGAAGAAGAGCGAAAAATATTGATCTGACATTTGATTTTGTCGCATTTGAATCATTTTCTTCGTGTAAGAGAGTAATTCCATTGATGAATGGTAACTGTGGTTTTATGTAAAATTCTTGTCGTACGGTATAGTCGTTATTTAAAAATATATCCCTCGCAAAACATGACATTTTGGAAATGGGATTTGGATAATGTTTTCTTTATTAATTAGTGATTGTATTGTGAAAAGCTCGATTAATAGTATCAAAGTTGTATATCGTTATTGGATTAGTCTCGTGAGATCAATTTAAATGTTTCGACAGTATCTTTAAAAAATATGTTTTTTTTTTAATAAAAAGCATACTCAGTCAAAATATTAATCTATTGCATTATAAAATCTATGGAAATTCACGAAAGTCTATTTTATCGAAATAAATGTTGATAAATAATTAATATTTGCGTCTAAAGAAGATTAATGAAAACTATGAATGAATGAAACATTTATACAAGCGTATATAATTGTAACTCGTATAAATTTCATCACTGATTATTACGACGAATATTTTACGAATTAATAACACTGGCATACAATTATTTTAGATTTTAATTAATTATTTTATTGCATCTAATAGTTATATCAATTGATAAGAATATTTCATTATTTTTTAGATAATTATTTATAAAAAAAATATCTCCATCTGATCTTGATGATTTTTTAATATATTGTAATTTTTATGCTGAATTGTATTATGACAATTAAAATGGATTAAGAAAATTAATAAAAATCATTAAATTCTCTAATAGTCAAATAAATTTTTATTCAATTTTTGATATTATTTATTCTGATTTTTGGATTTGAGTTAGCTTAGATTAATAACTTTTTAATAAACAACAGACAGACAAGTAAAATTTTCAAACCATTCAAATAATATATTCAGAAATCATCGAGATCGAGAGTGATACGTTTTTATAAATATTTATCAATTTAAATTTTTTTTGATATTTCATATTTCTTTGTAATTTTTAATATTACATATATATATATAATTTTTGAAACATACGAATAAAAATATTTTATCATTTTTTATATTCTCTTGATATGTGTATTGTTATTTTTTATTTTTTATTTTTTTTTTTTTTACCAAGACTAAAATTTTTTTTCGTACAAGCTTTACGTTAAAATCTAAAATGAATTATACCAGTGTTATCGACGAGTGTTCAAAAACTCCTTTCGTCGGAGTTTCGTTCGGTATAAGTGTTCCAATGTGATGTTTGAAAGCAAACATTATCGATTAGAAATCCATGGACGCTCGTTCACGAGGACAGCACCAAATGTAACTGAATTCGGAGAAAGAAGGCCCGTGTATCAATAGGCCACCCCAAGGCAGTGTGTACATAGATAATAAAATCCTTGACTCTTTGGTACTTCTTCGAAACGAGCCATCTCGATCTGGTTCGTTGCTCGTAAAAAATATTTGTCTATCGTTGAAGAGATGAAACCATAATCCGCGTTTTTAAAGGCTCGTTCAACGGCCATGTACAATTGGCGAAAATTAATTAAAGCTTTGTTCATTCTCGAAAAAATTATTCATTCCGATGCGAAGTGATTTTTATCGATGTCTTTCTATTAATCATATTCATTCCTCTTGTTTTTTTTTCCTCCCGACCAACGGGATTCAATCGTTCAATTAAAACTAATAGACTTACGTGTGTACCTAATATCCTTTCTTTATCTTAACTCGTATTGATGTTTTCACGTTCATCGAAGCACTTATTGTAAAGCGATTATTATTGTAATAACGCACAGTTATCTAAATACTACAAATACGTTACGTTTCTTTCTACATTTTGCTTTTTTTTTAATGCTTTCCTGCACAGAATTTAACAAATATTCATACATATACATTATGTACATCCGAGTCTAAAACTACACCAACGCATCCTATTACTATATACACGAAGCACACAGTACTTTTTTTTGTGCCTGCGTTTAAATCGCAAGTCATCCTACTAATCTTATTGTCCAATTTGACCATTAAACAATGGCATTTAAATATTAATTCGGTATTTAATTACGGAAGGCCCTATTCACCTTATTTCCAAGCATATTTATTTTCTCTTTTTTTTTTTTTTTTATTTGCTCCTCTCTTCGAATCCCCTCCTTCTTTTACGTCATGTGCAGATCACCTTTCAATATTCTCGTAAAAGTCTTCTTGAATTGCTGGTTGGCCAATGCGTAACAAAACGGGTTAATGGGGCTGTTTGTGTAACACAAGAAATACGAGAACATAAACAGATGTTCGTTGGTGCACGGTTTGTTCGTACAAAAACCCTCCACTAGCGCCAAAATGTGATACGGTGTCCAACAAGCGACGAATGCGCCTAAAATGAAAGATATCGTCCTGAAAGCTTTCCGAGCCCTGTTCTCGGTCCGTGATTTTTGCCTGCTCAACAAAGGATCCCTCCTCTGCGTTTTCGTCTTCAAACGTTTCCCAATCGTCTTCACGAAGTCCTTCCTCGAGCCACCTTCCTCGCTGCCCCTCGCGTCCCTCTTCTTCGACTGTTTCTTCGCGTCTTGCTCGTTTCCCGTCGTCCCGGAAATCGTGGGCACCATGCTACCGCTGGAGGACGAATTCTGCGGAGGATTGATCCTCGCTTCTTGCTCAGAATACTGATTCGTCGCGTTGTTCTTCTCCACCGAGTGCGCGCTGACGATCGTCGTCACCGGTTGCTGCTTCGTGTCCTTCGCTTTCACGCTCACCTCCGTGTGCACTTTGCTCACCGTCGGCGATGTTTGAGAAGCGACGTTCGATTTTTGTGTGATGAACACGCGAGGAGGATGGGTTTGACTGGAGGCGTTCGACATTATCGGTTGGCTCTGCTTGCTCTGGCCGCCTCCCGATTGCTGATTGCTTACTTGCTGGGCCGTGGCTCTGATCAATGCTGCCTGCAGCAAGCTCGTGTTGGACGAGGTAGGGATATTCCCTAGAATGGGGGACGAGGGGGCGCTCGAAAGGGGATTCGCCAGGCTGTATGAGAAGGAAGACGATGGACTCTCGTAAGATGGGCTGGGCAATATAACCGAACTTTCGTCCATGTACCTCAAATCCCCCCCGTCCAACCCTGTCAGAATATCGAAAGTACCTGCTGTCCCGTGAGAGGACACGACCAACGACTTGGGTCTGTCCGTGGACGAGGACGTGGATGGGCTGTCGGACACTTGGGGGCTGCTTCGAAACTGCGTAGGCGGTGGTATGATGTTCTGTTGGCTTCCGCTGATCGAACGAGCGGGATGAGTGGGTGGTGACGTCTCGGCGGAAGTGAGCGGTCGTTGATGAGGGGTCGCGTCCCCGTTGCAGCGAGACTGTTCAGGTGTCAACGTCTGACTGCTCGACCTGTCGGGTTCGAGCACATTGTCCGTGTCCAAGAGGCTCGACTCTTGTATCTTCGGCAATGTTTGAGCTTTCTGCGTGGCCATGTCGCACGTCGGGCCAGCGGCCACGGGGGGGAGGAGCTTCTTCGATGCTTGCAAGTTCAGGTCGGCCTTGGCCGGAACGATTCCGTTCAAGTGGCCGTTAGTGGAGAAAACTGGGAGGGCGCCGGTCTGCACGACCAGGCCGGCTAAGGAGGATCGTTTCCTGATGTTGGCGAGCTGTTGAGCAGCAGGGCCCATCGTGCTCTCCTCGTCCGAATCGAACGCTGGGCTACTACTCCGTTCAGATTTTTCCGTCTCCGTCGGGGCCATGCTTCCACCTATTTGTTTCTCCGTCGAGTCGGTCACGCCGGTGGTTCCGGAAGTCTTTGAGGAAGTCTTCTGCCCTGAACCGTCGCCACCCCCCTCCTCGTCACCCGACGCGCTTAGCTTCGGCTTATCCTGGCTCAAAAGGGTGCTTTGCGTCTTCGATATACCTATACCAGCCGCCCGACCCGCCATACCGGACATCGCGCCCGCGCTGAGGGCAACCATCGATTGCATTTTCCTCTGCTTGGCCTCGCTCTTTTTCTGCATGTCGTAAGCCGTCTTGTATATACCGCCGTATAAGATGAACAGAACAACAAGCGTGGTCCAATAATAACCGATTATCAAAGCGGTGTTGAAAACGGGATCTTTGAGGAATTGAACGGTACATTGGCCGGGATCTAGATCCCTGTAACCGATAAAATGCTCCCAGCCGAAGATACTGATGAAGAAGAGCAAGGCCGGTATTATCCAGGTGATCGTAACCATCCAGATTACGCGATTTTTCGTGCGCCAGCTGCGATATTGGGCTGCTATTTTCACCGAACAAAATCGATCAATTGTGATCAATAATACCGTGTACTGGGATACCAAGCATACCGTGTAATCTACGGACAGCCATAAATCGCAGAGCAAAGGTCCAAGATTCCAATATCCCATCAGAATGTAGACCGTGTAGAATGGCATGGATACAGTTCCTGTTATAACAAACGTCGTACATCACGATTAAGGTTAATTTAAGTTAACCGAGTTATTAGTTGTCATGCTATGCAATTGATTTATTGTTAAGAAAATGAAAAAATTGCAAGCTATAGAATACGAAATGTTAGTTGGTATGTTAGTAGTTCGTATGTTAGTTGGTATTGTTAACGCGAGGGGTATTTATTTATTTATTATTATTTATATACGTGAGAAGACTTACCAATAAGCATATCGGTGGCTGCTAATGAGGCGATGAAGTAGTTACTCGGCTGTCTGATAGCCCTATCTACGATAAATGCCAGGAGGACGAGAATGTTACCGCCGACAGTTAATAGTATACATAATGCGAGGGAGAAAGCGATCAGTATCGTCTGCCATAGTTCGAAGGGTGGTAGAACAGGTGCGAAAGGTTCCGCTGTTTAATATATAGAATATTCATCCCATTTGTTTTTACTTGTATATACGTGTACTATTTTCAACTAAAATTAATTTTGAATTATATATGTACATATATATTAATCAAACAGTGAAAATACAGATGATAATTAAAAAAAAAAAATTAAATAAATAATATTTTATTATGCATATTTTTATAACGATATGACGAAAAATAATTTCAATTATATGAAATGCATCAATAATAATTAAGCTGAATTAAAGTTCTCTTTTAAAAAATAAATGTAAAAAAAAATATTACGTTTTTTAACAACCTTTATCATCTTATGAATGCAACTTTTCCTTAAAAATAGATTAATCAATTAAATAATTTAAATTCAAAATTTTTGAATTATTTACGCAAATTATTCTTTTCCTGAATTCTGAGAATTTTGAATAGCAAAAGAGAAGTAGCAAAATATTTTAAAGTTTAAAAATTATTGAGTTTCGAAGATTTTCGAAGTTTTCTTTTTTTGTTTTTTATAAATTGTATATAAACAAGAAATTAATATCTCGTGAAACATTTCAAATTTTGTAATTTTTTCACTTTCCTGAACCTGTTCAAAATTGCATTTAAAAAAACAATTGCATTTTCTAATTACAAAATTGTTAAACGGTATAAAATTTTTCTCTATAATTTTTTTCTAATTTCATTTGGAACATAGTTAAAATCCAGCCCAATTATTAAATTCCCCCCTTAATTAAGCACGAATAAGTGATACAATATCGAGAAAAATTTAATTGTGTTACCGGTTGATAAGGTTGTTGCGTTCCCCGTTATCGTTCCGTTGGTAATATTTGACGGAAACCATTCTGACAGAAGTTCTACATATTCCCCACTGCTCCAACGTGGATCATCCGGGTCAGGCCAGCTTCCATTAAGCTGGGAGCATTCCGCTAAAACTTGATTGTACATGCGACAAAGACGTTCCCGTTGCCTCTCTCGTTTCCTAAAAATTATTTTGAAAGTATTATATTGTTCGTATTAATGTTGTCGCAATACATAACCTCTTAGTTGGTCAAAAAAATATCTGTCTCCCTGAGCCATTATTTCGTATTCAACTTTTTTTTACACGAATTTTCATTATTTATCATTTTACACACTATTATTGTAGAATTAAACAATAGATGTATTAATATAAATATAATAACTTTTATATTTTTATTATACCAATTTTTATATTTACTCTAGAATCAACGAATATATGTCCCATAAATATATTAATACTCTATATGTTTATTGTTTCATTCTATTTACTATTAAGAGGTAACTTAATTGTTTAAAAAGAAAATTTAAAAAAAAGATAAAAAAAGGTACATTAAAAACTGAATATATTTGAAATAGTATATAGAAGATTTTTAGAATACAAGTTAATTTCAAGTTAAATTCATAGATATATTAATTTGACAAGAAACATTATTGACATTTTGCAAATATTTAAATATGGATAAACAAAGATAATGCAGATTTATCAATAGTAACTAATATTAGTAATTAATAACTGATTATATATCCTATTAATATCTCTTACATATTTTCTATTTATTACTAAATCTTTGAAAATATATTTTAATTACTTAAAAATCCATTAGTTTGATAGAGTATTTGGATTATTGTATTCTTTCTCGAGCAAAATATAAGAATTTTCTACTTCAAAAATAAATTATATAATAATTCGATAAAACTATCAGGAATGGGACGTGACACGATTTGCTACGAATGAAGAATTAGAATCGTAAGAGTGTTACTTCTTTAATAATGTTCGTTAGCATCGAAGAAAATGTGACAGCGGTATTTCCTGATTTTAGTTAGTGACACGCATGCCTCTTGCTCTCTATGAAACATTGCTGCAGTGGCAACACGAGAAGCAAGTCAAAGGCTGAATACACCGGGCGCACAATGAGCTTGAAATAAGCATGAATGGAACCACATCCATTCCTCCGTTCGCAGATCCCTGTCGCCAGCAGGGAAGAAACGATGGGCCTCCGCCTTAAAGAGGGTGACTCGTTTTTAAATAATTTAACTACTCGATCGTAACTACCCCTCGGTTAAACGCTACCTTCATCCTTTACATCCAATTTCGTGAAAGATGTGATTAACGTCGTTCATTCATGAGCTTATCTTGCAAAATATTCATCTATTTTTCTGTATCTTTTGCCTTTGAGAGGAGAAAAATATAATCGAATATCTCAACTGATAAATCATAATATAAATTTGTATGTTTTGCTGTTGTTTTATTAATGTGTTGTTCTTATTATTAGACTGTGAAATATATTTAAAATATATGAATTTCTTTGTTATTATTTGTTATTTATTGTAATTTATATTGTAATAGGTAATTATAATTTTTTTTCTTTATTTTAAGTAATAAATTGTTGCTTTTATGCAGGAAAATTTAATTTGTATGCCGAAAATATTCATTCAACGTCGCAGGATATGCATTTATGTCTGTATTTTTTCCAATATTGTGGCACAATTTGTTTTATTCATTAATAATTGCATCTTTTAAAACATTGTTAATTTTACATATTTCATTAAAATCTGAATCTTTTTGAAGCATCTTTTTTATAGAATTAGAACAGAATTAAGAAATTAGTTTCAATAATGTTTCATTTACTAACTATTTTATGATTTAATTATTAATATGAAATTTGCAAAAAATATGGATAAAAATATACAAAATAAAAAATATATTTCTATCCAAGTTTTATCTCTTTATCTATTTATTGTAAAAATATGCATTTAAATAAATATCTACGGTTTATTTATTGTTTTTATTTTATTAGTATTTTGACAATATTAATCTTTAAGTTGAATAACTTGGATTCCATCATAAATGAATATTTTACAATAATTTCTTTTTTATAAAATTTTTGTTAAAAGCTTTACATTTTTTATAATATTGAAAATACATTAATTATATATTAATTAATCTCATTAAAGATTTATAAATATTGTTAAAAATATTGAAATTGTTCAATATTATAATTTTAACATCGTTTTATTCATCTTAACGTTTTAATAACTTAAATACATCAAGAATAAAATTTTAAAAAAATTCACTGAAGAATATTCTATATAAATTTTAAGAAAAAAAATTTTGAATAATAATTTTTTAATTCCGTTTCATATATTATAATACATTATTCCTCGCAATATAACATCGCATTAAATAACGTACTTCTAAGATCGAAGATCGAAGATTGAATGAAACGAATGGAAAAATGTAATAAATATAACTTGTTTTCAACCATTGATTTTTTTGGGAAAGACGTTACAGAGGGCAATATAGTTAATGTAACGTCTTAGGTTGGACATTAGATTTGCAAATCAATGAGATCGTTCTAAGATTATTAGAACGGGTCTCTGCGAACGCAGACAATGAAGTCACACGAATAAAAGATAGAGAGATGAGATCCATTGTTTCAATGTTCTCGAGGGTAAATACTTGTCCTCGTTATAGCAGGCTTTCTCTTCAAGTTGCGCCATCGTGAAATGATTCGTAAATACTTGTCCTCGTTATGGCGGCATTTCTTTTTTACAACAAGTGAAATGATTCATAAAGAGGAGCCAACTACCTATAATTAATTGGAACTTAGAGCGAGCTTAACCAACACCAACAAAAAAAAAACATAACGAATCAAAATGTAATATATTTTACTTCGAAAAGAAACATGCTTTCAAATTTGTCATAAACATTTGTTTATTATTAGATTAAAATAATTAATCAAATTAAAGGAAAAATAATTAAGTAGTAAGAAAATTCTGTTGTTAAATAATAATAAAATATATGATAATATAAATGATTATTTATAAAATCTATATATTATAATAATTCTATAAATTATTGTTAAAGATTTGTAAAAGTACTATCAATTACAATATTTGTGATCATATTGTGAACAGGATATATTAATTTTGTAAATTCCTCCATATTTCATTTCAGCAACAATGTATACACGCACCATGCGTTAATTATAAAATATTGATATATTAAATATATCATTTTGCAAGACCCTCAAGACTTAAAATTGTATGTACACTATATCATATTTAGAATTATACATTTTCTATGTTCAATTATATTAAATTCAAGAAGCAATTCTCATTCTCCTGAGAGTCTCCTTTTAATTATTATTCAATATGCAACTCTTAAATCTGAATAATCGTTTCATCAGAGTAAAAAAATAGAATGTTTAAAAAGAATTTAAAAATTTTATTATTCCACATTCCTTCCATCTTCCTTTTCCTTAGATTCATTTGGAAGAAATATTTATTTAATATTTAAAAATGAATAATAATAATTATTATTGTTATATTTTTTTAAGTGAAAATTATAGAATAAAATAGAAGAAATCGGTTCATGAATTAAAATGGATTAAAGACACTTCAAAGAGTATTTAAACGAGTTCGAAGAGGATGCGAGTATCGAGTAAGAGCCGAATGCCGAGGAGGAAGGTACTTACTTACGTAGCGTGGGGTCGTTTGCAGGGTACTTTAGACGAGGAAAGGGTGCTCGATGGGTTGCCGCAACTCGTGCATCGAAACAAGGGTAAAGTATCCGTTTTGTCTAATGAGTTGTAATGCCCGCTCATCAAGGTCATTCAACCGTGAGTCGAACAGCCGGAGACACCCTTCGCTCGGGAAGGATTTTTCATTTCTCTCGTATTTCGATATTTTTCAAACGAGTCCGCTCGAAGATCGAAGACGAGGGAAATAGAAAATTTAAAAAAGAAAAAAAAATGTATAATCATGATCGAAAAACTATTTGAAAATGTCTTTGCACGAAACGTTAATGTTGGCGTATAATAGGTTTCAGATAAATGGAGAAATGGCCAATTGCTGGAAATGAAAAATTGTTAAACTCTGTTGTCGCGGCGTCGTATTGGATAATTGTCTCCTATTTTTTATTAATTACGGACGATTCATAATTAAAGTTGTTGTGAAATTGCACAGGTGACCCAGATCTTGTCGGTCTAAGAAAAAAATTTCAAGCGCACTTAGTTAAAGTCTGTAGTAGCCTCAGTTTCCAAAAGCTTCTGTAATAAAAACGCAAATGTGTATGTTCCATAAAGGTAAGTAAAGATAAATATTTTACCAAGAGTCGGTTAATACGGATTGCGAGATGCGAGTAAACGACTCCTGAGAAGACTCTGCGTTTGCAAGAATGGTAGAAATTTATTAATATTTCAAACAGTAGATAATAATTGTATATTTCTTTCAAAAGATAATTGTAATGATAAAACACTTATTTTCAACGAATGTATATTATAAATAGAAATTTGAAATATTAATATTTCAATTTTCTTATTAAATAAACAAAATAACAAATGACAAGATTAATATATGTATAGTAATTGTGTTTTTAGGTATATATAATAATATATAAACTTTATAAATTTTTTCTTATATATGGTGAACACTTAATAAATTTAATGCTTTGCAGGAAAGTAGAATTATGATTTTTTTTTAAATGTTCATGTTTCTTTTCACACTAAAATGAGTCTTTAGAATATTAATGCGTATATGATATTCCATTATCTTGTATATCTCTCGTCTAATAACTATCAGCATTCATGCGTATATGAAAGCTGCTATGCCTTATTTAAACTATATATATGTTTTGAATATTCATGCATTTTTACCTTCACATGTCATCCATTTGAATCAAATATGTAAAATTTGCTTTCATCTCACTTTTTATTTCGTTCGTGTACGAAATATTTTCTACAAACATACAGGATGATGCTGGACGGATAGGACAATAGAATAGATGATTCTATATGCAAAAATAAATCGAAAAAAAAAAAAAAAAGAATGACATTTTCATTCGTAGCTTCGTTTCTGAAAAGATCGAAATTGAAGTGAAAAAAGTTTGATTAATTCTCCACTGGATTATTGATGGAAGATTATTCTATGTGCAAAAAATAAATAAAAAATGCAGAAAAT